TTCTCCCTCTCCCGCTGCCCCTCTGCTCTGCTTGTGCTCTCTCTCTTGCTCACTCTCTCAAATAAATAAATAAAATCTTTTTAAGAAAAAACTCTGACTTACAAAACAGTGGTTTAAAAAAGATTATTTGCTACATCAGGGGTATGCAATTATCTGGGTAGGGAGAATTCTATTTTTATGCTTCTCATAGAGCTTCATTTAATTCACAGCTGAAAGTGATCACCGTGTGATTAGAAATGTCTCAGTGTTGGGGCACTTGGGTGGCTCAGTCAGTTGAGCATCCAACTCTTGATCTTGGTTTAGGTCTTGATCTCACGGTCATGAGTTCCAGGCCCGAGTTGGGCTCAGTGCTGGGTGTGGAGCCTACTTAAAGAAAAAAAAAAGTCTCAATGTTAATACTTGCTTCTAGAATTTTTTCTATTCTAGTTTTATGTTTTTAGTTAACTTTTCTGAGTTGATCATAAAAAAACTGATGCATGAATAGATAAAAGAATGAAGATGTTATTAAAAGTAAAGTGACATTTTTCTGAATTATAGGCTTATTCAGCTTCTTAGAAGGTACAGCCAACCAGAACAATGTTCTAAAAATTATTTCCTTGTATGTATTTTGTATTTGAGAAAGGATTTTCATTCTTGTTTTTGTATTTAATATTCATAACAAGGAGTCAGTAAGCCTTTCCTGTAAGATGCCACATAATAGTAAATATTTTAGGTTTTGTGGGCCATATGGTCTCTCTTCCTAAACTATTCAACTCTTTCATGCCATTATTGCATGTAAGCTGTCATAGACAATATTTAAATGAATGAACTTGGCTGTCTTTCCGTAAAACTTTACTTGTGGATGCTGAATTTGAATTTAATATAATTTTCTTGTCATTAAATACTCTTGTTTTTTTCCAACCATTTAAAAATGTGAAAACCATTTTTAGCTCATGGGCTGTATAAAAACAGGTTATGGTCCAGACTTGCCTGACAGGCTGTAGTTTGCTGAACTCTGTTCCAAATAATCCTGTGAGACTTTGCTGACTATTTTCTGTTTTCTTCCCCTTTCTTTTAACGTTATTTTATGTTTTGCTTGTTTTGCTACTTAATCATATATTTTCTGACATTGTTAATGTGTTTATAACTTTTAAATTTTAATAATTCAAAAAAATTTAATGATTTTTATTAAGTTTTAAGCTATGGGGGGGTAGGACCTATAATGGCCTCTTTAACACCTTGCACATTTATAAAAGTTATATGTACTCAATAGATATTTGGGAGAGTTGAAAAGGAATAGTATCTTCCATTATTTGAAGGACTGTTGTATAGATTGTTTCATTTCACTTATTCATTTATTATACATGTTCCAGGATGGTTCTCTTGCATTATTCAATAGAAGTAATAGGGAGGCAAAACTTAGGTCAGAATGTAGGGATAAGAGAAAGGAGAGAGAGAGAGACTCTTAAGGATTGTATTCTTTGTGGCATGGTATATGCTGTGGTCAGTGATACACACAGCCCCTCATTTAACCTTTACAACTTGTTTAAGTAGGCATATCTTTACTCATTTTACAGATGAAGAAACTTAGATAAAATACTAAATAAGTGAGTGGTGGAGAATTTGAACTGAGATCATGATCTTTCCATATACTTTTCTTTTTATACTAAGGAATATTCAGTTAACTAGTTTGCCTTACACATTAGCTACTTAGCTATTACTACAAGTTGTGTGTGTGTGTCTGCTTTGCTATTACTACGGGTTTTCACACACATCTTAGATGACCAAGAACAGAGATTTTTTTTAGAAAAGGTGAAATGTTGAATTGAAGAACCTCTAAGATAAAGTTTCAGATTCTTTGACTATATGATTACAGAGGGCTTTACTTTTAAATGCAGGTAAAACACATTTTTCCTTTTGTATTTGTACCTCTCTTTAAAATGTTGTTTTACGGGACACCTGGCTGGCTCAGTTGGTGGAACATGTGGCTCTTGATCTCAGGGTTGTGAGTTTGAGCCCCACATTGGGTGTTGCGATACTTAAAAAAATAAAATCTTTATAAAAAATGTTTTACAAAAGTAAATTAGTAGAATTGCACAATGAAATAAGATTGAGGAATATACATAAAGTTTCTATCAAATTGTTTACTAGAAATCAATGATTAAATCAAATCTTAAGCTGGTCATTTCAACTAATATGCTTGAAAGAAATTGAAGATTGAGTAAAGCTAGGTTAAATAAATGTTACAAGTAAATGAAGAATATTTCTGACAGAATAAATAATTGTGGAGTTTCTTTCTTGACCCAACAAACATTTTGAGTGTCTGTACTGCTATGGGGAGCTCAGATAAGTGAGAGAAGTGGACAGTGATAGAGGCATGCATGAGGTATTGTGGGGGCACAGGACAGATGTGTAATTAAGCTGGAGTGGGTGGAGGAAGAGGTTCCCAAAAGACCCTGCCTCCTGGGAAGATGATGTCTGAATTTCTTTCTTTTCCCCCTTTATTGGCTTTAAAATTATTTAAAAATTTGTAGTTCTTGCAAATATTAAACAATCCAGAAGTGTAACTAGTAAACAGTGTAAATCCGTATTTACACTTTTTGTTCTCCAATCCTCATTTTCAAAGTTATAGGTAATAGACTGGTAAATATGCTTCTAGATTTTTCCCTGTGCATTTACCAACAGGTTTTTTCCCTCCACAAAATTGGGTTCATACTACATATAATTTTGTAACTTGCTTTTTCCCCCCACATGTAATAGTATATCCCATGTATGTTTCTATCCCAGTAGATGTAGATCAATCACATTTGAAAAACTTGCTGCCTCAAATATGGGGATGGATGGTCCCTCATTTATTTACATTATTTCCTATTTCTGGACATGTAGGTTTTCAACCTGTTACAAAGAGTGAATATCCTTATGCAGATATATTTGTTTTCTTTTATGAATTAAGTTTTATTTTTTAACCATTACTTAAAAATTTTATTTTACTTTTTTTTTTTTGATGTAGTGTTCCATGATTCATTGTTTGCGTATAACACCCAGTGCTCATTGCAATACATGCCCTTCTTAATGCCCATCGCTGGGCTAACCCATCCCCCCACCCCCTCCCCTCTGAAACCCTCAGATTGTTTCTCAGAGTCCATAGTCTTTCATGGTTTGTCTCCTCCTCCGATTTCCCCCTCTTCATTTTTCCCTTCCTTCTCCAAATGTCCTTCATGCTATTCCTTATGTACCACATATAAGTGAAACCATATGATAATTGACTTTCTCTGCTTGACTTATTTCACTTAGCATAATCCCCTGCAGTTCCATCCCTGTTGATGCAAATGATGGATATTCATCTTTTCTGATGGCTGAGTGATATTCCATTGTATATATGAACCACATCTTCTTTGTCCATTCGTCTATTGAAGGGCATCTCGGCTCCTTCCACAGTTTGGCTATTGTGGACATTACTGCTATGAACATTGGACTGCATGTGTCCCTTTTCACTACATCTGTATCTTTAGGGTAAATACCCAGTAGTGCAATTGCTGGATCATAGGGTAACTCTATTTTTAACTTTTTGAGGAACCTCCACACTGTTTTCCAAAGTGGCTGTACCAACTTGCATTCCCACCAACAGTGTAAGAGGTTCCCCTTTCTCCACATTCATTGTTTTCTGCCTTGTTACTTTAAATGATAAGTAGCATATATAGGCAGGTGAAAGGGAGTTAAGATTAATGTGAAGGAAAAATGTTTTCTAGGCTAAGGGAACAAATATAATTTGAAAAACACTGCGGAAGAAAATGATACTTTTAGTTAGGGGAGAAACATTTCTGTTTCTGTGCTTTGGAAGTATAGCACCTCTTGTTTTCTTGAACTTTGAACTGTATGCTAGAGTATCTTGTTTTATGGAATAGGCATCTCTTTGCTGAATAATTTATAGTTGTATAATTTTCTTATTTTGGAGATTAAAAACTTTTTTCAGTAATTGTTACCAGATAGAGAAGTAGAATTACAAGCTGATAAAAATGATTATTTGGACATTATTACATAGAGGTTAAATATGAGTAGTTCTGGGAATAGAGCTTATATTTTAGTTATCTTTTTCTTAGTTCTGTTATCTAATTGAGAATTTCTTACTCAGGTTTCAAAATAACTTTTTGGGTGGTTAGTCCTCCACTGTTGTCCATTTGAAACAAATTTGGTTAATTCATAAAATAACTACTGGGAAGTTGCTAGTTTATCAAGTAGGTACCTGAAAATGGGATAGATGACTTAAAGTAGATGAATTGTGTTTTGTTATATCTTAACTCTTAAGTGTAAAATCTTATTATCCTTAAAAAGTTTTAGTTGCTGCTGTTTTGTTCCAAATTTCCAATTTTGGAATGTTGCCTGTAGTGTGATATCAAGTACTAATAAGTATTATAATTTTATAATTCTCCTGACAATTAAGAGGATCTAGTGACTTCTTAAAAATACATGGGAAAGAAAATGGTTCATTAAACAAGGCTGACATTTTTCTGAACTATTTATAAAAATAAAAGCCTTTTCTTTTTGGTTGCCAAGGTTGCTGTGTTATTTGGTTAGATGTGTTCTATTGAATAGAAATCCAAGTTTTGTTCAGGCTCAACTTTAAAAATTTTTCCTCATTAAAAAAAAAACATGCTAAGTACTTCTTATTAGTGTTATTAATTTGAGTAACATGAATGCTTTGAATCAGTCAGCCTAATGTGTTCTCTCATTACCTTAAATAATAATTGTATTATCTGTTACATTGCATGTTTATGAAGTACTTATACTTCATCCTAAGGTAATTATTACTTAATGTGAAGTGTAATTTTTAAGCATTCATATCTTTTTTCATTTAGAGTTATTTTCCAAGAGTAAAGTAACATTTAAACACATCTGATAACTTAGGGCGGGGAGGGAGGAGGCTGGAGGGTGGATGTGGGGAGGGACTGGGGGGAGGTAGGGGACACTTTAAAAAAAAATAATAAACACATGATAACTTACCTTATATATGATTTTTCTAGGGCTGCTTTGGAAGAAGTAGAAGGAGATGTGGCAGAATTGGAACTAAAACTCGATAAGGTGAATTTTACTTTAAAAGTTTTTTAAAACATTAATTCTTATTTTCCATTAACAATGATTTGGGCCTTTAATACTAAGTGGTTCATGTTACTTTTTTTTATCTCTATGAGGATAAATGTTATTATTATCCCAATTTTACACATGAGTAAATTGAGGCTACAGACATAAAATAGCTTGTTGAAAATCTAAGGGCCAGAGCAGGAATTTGAACAGCATCTGACTTCAAAGCTAACTAGGTATCCTTTATATTGTTGGAACTTTGTTTTCTTCTTCTCCATCAAAGAGATTGCATGTATCTTTTTGATGCTTAGTGGTTTTCATACATAACCTGACCATTCTTGTCTGTAAATGTGGGTGTGGACACATTAAATATAAATAAAATTTAAAATACAGCTTCCATTTTTTAAAGCTAATGCCAGAAATGCTTAGTATATATTTAATAATTGATATTAAGTGGTCATATTCTATTTGAGGGTAAATGTTCATTGATTCCTATCTTCTATATTAATTATTGATCATCTTTTTTTCTCTACCCAAGAAATATTGCTATAAAGCAGGAAGAAATATGAGAATGAGTAAGACATGGCTTCTGGTTTCAAGTAACCAGTAACTGTTTAGTGAAATATCTTTCATAAAATTTATGGCGATAAATCAGATGCACATACCTGAAATATCTTTTCTGAAAATAACTTCCTACTTGTTTAATTATTATTGTAAATGGTATTGCTATGTAAAGCAGTGCTTCTCAAACTGTACTGTGCATAGGAATCACCTGGGGATCTTGTAAAAATACAGATCCTGATTCAGTAAGTCTGGGGTACCTGAGATTCTGTGTTTCTAATCAGATTCCAGGTGACACCAATGCTGTTGTTCCACGGACCGCACTTTGAATAGAAGGATATAAAATAACTAAGCTGAAGGTTTTCATATGTTTTGAAAGCATGAAATATATGTATGTATATAATGTAAATGGCATAGAGACTATATAAAGTAGTATTAATTATGAATGTAAAACCAAACTTTTAGAAAATAATAATTAGTTATTTTTGTGTTGTACTCTATAGTTTTTGAAACACTTTGATATATAGTATGTTCTTTGATTTTTACAATAATTCTGTGAGGTAGATAATACAAGTGCTATTATTCCCATTTTATAGATGAGGATACCAAAGCCCAGAAAGTGAAGGGGACTTGCTTCAAGTCAGAGGTAGAAGAGGCAGAACCAGCGTCAGGACTCACGTTTTTATTCTTAGTTCAGTGCTCTTTTTGTGCATCACTGTACTTCTGGATCTGTATTGGGGAGCCCTTTGCCACTTGGAAATTTTTTGAGGAACACTGAGAAGCTTCTTGGCAAGTGTTTTTTAAAATTAGTGTTGTAATTTTTGGTAAGGATATTTTCAAAAATATTTTCAAATGTTTCTCTTTAAAATCACATATAGGATTATTGTTATTTTACCCAGAGGTATTACATTTATTTTAAACACTCTGAAATAAAGTTTTTAACCATAAGGTAGGCAACAGAAATATAGTCTTGATTTTCTGGTAGATTTATGAGAGAGTATGTAGAAGGACAAGGCTTTTTTTTTTTTTTTTTTTAGATTTTATTTGAAAGAGAGAGTGAGACATAGAGCATGAGCAGGGGAGAGATGGAGAAGCAGGCTCAGCTCCCAGTTGAGTAAGGAGCTGACACAGGGCCCGATACCAGGACCTTGGGATCATGACCTGAGCCGGAGGCAGATGCTTAACTGACTGAGCCACCCAGGCACCCCTGAAAGACAAGGCTTTTTAAAGAATCGTAGAGTAGTCTAATCAGGATATCTATTCTTTTTGGGTAGAACTGCATGTAAATCATGTGAAACATTTTGTGTGTTCATGGGGAGGGTCCTCAAAATTTGAAGTATCTAAACTGATAGAATCCACTAACAGCATTTTTGTTACTGATTTTGCTTTTGTGAGCAGCTCCTCCCCCCACCCCCCCACCCCCCTCTGTCTCAAATTTGGTTGGAGTTGGGAGACTGGTAGAATCTTAAAACCAAGAGATTCAAGTTTAAAACAAGTTATTAAAATATTGGCAATCAGTACTAAGATCTCTAAGCCCTTTCTAGAGTATTACCCAAAGGCTAATAAGGGCATCATGGAAATTTTGACATTTAAAAAAATATTATCTTCCACCTGAATAGAAGGTCTATAGTTACTTTTATGTTTCTCTAGTTTAAGAGCTTGATTTCCTATAAAATGTACCTCTCCCAAATTCTTAAGTTAGTATCTATCATTTCACTTTAGAATTTTGAGGAGTTAGCACAGAGAGGAGAGCCAGAGAGGAGGAAGAAATGGTTGTTATTAAAGGTGGAGGCACTGAAGGACTAGTGGAGGGGAGGGGTTGCCCAAGATTAGTTTAGTGATTTCATAACTTTGTGCAAGGCAAATTCCAGCTGTAATATCATTGTAAATCATGCCACCAACAGGTTAAACTAGCTTGATGACTTAGCTTTTATTTATTTTGCTTATAATATGTTACCAATAGTTACACTCGTTGTGGACAATAATGCTTTATGAGTGGCATTGTTCTGCTGGGTCCAATGATTTGTCCATTCTGCCAGGCATTCTGGCATTGACAGCACCGCAGAGCATCATGGTGGCTGTCTAGATATAATTTCTGTATCTGGTGTATCTTCTCACTGGAATGCTTGTTCCCTCTCTGGTGAGCAGATCCTTTTTAAATCACAGCTCAAGTACTACCAAACTGAGGCTCTTTTTCTTGTATTGCATTCTTTGTTGCACACACTTCCATTTAAATTATTATAATATTATTGTAGTTTTTGGGTTGTAGCATGGTCTAATGGTTAAGAACACAAAGCCTGGAGTAAGGCTGCCTTCATTTGAATCTGGCTCTACCACTTACTAAGCTATTTGGCATTGGGCAAGTTCCTCAACCTTCCTATGCCTCAGTTTCTTCATCTCCAAAAAGTAAAATTAGAGTTTCTATCTCGTAGGGTTATTATGAGAATAAGGTGTTTTAGTATATGTTAGTGCTTAGCATGGTTCTTAGCACATGTTAAGTTCTAAATAAATGGTAATGATGGTGTCTCTTCAACAAATTATTAGCTCCTTGAAGACAGTCTTTGAAGAAAAAAGAAAACCCTCATTTGATGCACACCATGATCAAGTGCTAAGTTTTACTTATATTATCTCCAACTGTCACAACAATTTGCAAAGTTGGTATTATACCCAATTTGCCCGTGAGAAAAATGAGACTTAGAGAGGTTGTTATTTACTCAAGGACAGTCAACGGATAAGTTGTTTATATTCTCATCACCTGGAAAAGCGCCTATGACATACATATCACTTAGTACCAAAGAACTTTTGAATGAATTGGGGCTACTAGCTTGATAATTTTGACTAACTTGACATATACTCTTGGGTAAGAATCTTCCCTCTTTGTAGGCTTCTGTTATTCAGTTATACCTGTCCTCAGTGTCATCTACTAAGGATTTTGCTAGCTGGCATAGTTTCTATCATCAAGTCAGTCCTTCCTCCTGCATAGCTGCAGTGTATGTGTGGCTCAGCTATATGACAGTTCCATTCTCTCTCCAACTCCTGTGATAGTGGCCTCTATTCTAATTCTGATACCTGTTTCCATGGTCAGAGCTCTGCCTTACCATTCAGAGTTCTCATCTCGGAAATCTGGAATGCTGATCTCTTACTTTCTTACCTGAGACTCTAGTCTTTCCAGTTCTCATTTCACTCCTACTTCTGTTCTTCAAGCTTAGCTAGCCCTCTAGTCTTTCAGCCTATAAACTTCTGATATTTTAGACATTTTAAACTCCCCTTTCAGTGCATTTTTTTGGGGGGGGGAGTAATTTTTGGAGATAAAATTCACCGGACATAAAATTCGTCATTTTAAAGTGTACAGTTCAGTGTTTCCAGTATATTCACACTATTGTGCAGCCCTCACCACTGTCTAATTCCAGTGCATTTCCATTACCTTAAAGAGAAATCCTGTACCTGTTGGCAGTCACTCCCAATTCACCTCTCCCTACATCCTCTGGCAACCACTAATCTACTTTGTCTTTATGGGTTTGCCTATTTTGAACATTTCATATAAATGGAATCATAATTTGTCCTTTTGTGACTAGCTTCTTTCACTTAGCATGATGTTTTTAAGGTTCATCAGTACATGCTGTAACATGTTCCAGTATTTCCTTTTTATGGCTGAGTAATATGCCTTTGTGTGGATAGACCACATTTTATTTATCCCTTCATCACTTGATGGACATTTGGGTTATTTCCACTTTTTGGCTAGTATGAATAATACTGCTATGAACCCTTTTAGTCTACTCTTAATTTTATTCCATCATATTTTTCTTCTGGATGCCTTAATTTCCTTTCCATAACACCTACTCCATAGAATTCTCACTATATTAGTCTAATCATCTGTATTCTCTGTGTCATATCTGGGCTGTAAAGCCCTGTAGGAGAAGTTACACAATTGTTTGGTGAAATCAACTGGTGGAGTTACACATTCCTGGACTTCTTGATGTAAAACAAATTTTCCAAGACTTATTCAGGTTATCTTGTTATCTCTAACAGCTGTTATGCTTCTGTTTTCTCATGATTTATCACTTTGTTCTTCTTTCTTAATAGATGACTTTGACTCTATCTTCCTTTTGGTGGAACATTTTTATTTCTTGCTCCTAATCTAGAAATTTAGACTATGTCCTTCTCTTTTTCCACTTTTCCTCCCATTTGAGTGATAAAAGTATCCCTTTTCCTATGTAATTCCAAACTCTAACTTCTCAGGACTTTGCTTTAGCCATCTTTCTCCTTTTCTTTCTCTACCACCTCTTCATTTTAAGTAGAAAGTGTTCAAGTTTCCCTGGAACAAAAACAAAATAAGAGAAAAACCAAAAGCAAACAAGAAAATTCTGACAAGGAAATATAAATCTTTTGTAATTACCATGTGCCAGTAATGGTTTGTGCTAAGACCTTTAAGTGCATTATCTTAACTCTTTTATAGTAATCTTGTATGGTTTGGTACCATTGTGATCATTTCAGACAGAAGAAACTTAAGATTACTGAGGTTAAGGTCACTCAGAATCATTTAGATGGTTAAGTACAGCAGCAGGATTTGAACCTAAACTGACTGAGCCCACAACCCTATGTTTTTAACCATGATGATGTTGTATTACCAACCTCTCTCCTTCAGTTATCATGGAACCTTTTAATTTAATTATTTTAAAGTTGTTTAATTTGTTGAATAATACCTCCTATGTGATACAGATTTCAAAGACACAAAAGTGTGTACCCAATGAAAAATTGGTCACCCTCTAATCTCTTTCCTAAAGGAGAACACTTGTGTCCTTCCAGAAATTTTCTAGGCATATAAAAGATTATAAATATTTGTCTTCTTCTCTCCCACTACAACAAAAGTATTAACACTGTTCTACGTTTTGCCTTTTGAAAAAATACATCTTGGATTTTGGTTTCTGTTATTAATTATTGAGCTGCCTCATTCTTTTTAATGGCTGAATTGTATTTCATTGTATGGATAGATCATAATTTATCCAGTTGCCTACTGATGGACACTTAGATTGCTACCTGTATTTTACTGTGGCTGCAGTGTATGACTTCACATGTGTGTCATGTGGTTTATGTGAAAATATAACTTTATAATACTTTTCTAAAAGTGGAATTGCTGGAGTAGAGGATATGTGTTTAAAATTTTGATAGCTCTTGCTAAGTTGCCTTACATAGAAATTGTACCAGTTTACATCCCCCCATAAATGTATGAGTACCTGTTTCCCCATACCTACCCTCTCTAAAATAGCAAGTTAATAAACTTTATAATCTTTGCTATTATGTAAAAAAAAACAGTAATTTACTCTTTGTAAAAGAGTAAAATACTCTTTTACTATGAGTGAGATTGAATTTTTTTTTTTCATGGACATAGTATGTCTTTGAATTTTCTTTACTGGGTATTATCTGTACATAATCTGTTGGCCATTATTTTTGTAGTGGCTGGTTTGATTTTCAGAAATGATTTGTATCCTCTTCTTATAGCAGGGAAATTAGTCCCTTATGATTTGTTGCTAATATTGTTTTCCCATATTGTTGTCTTTTGACTAAGTTTATTGTTTTTTTTTTTTCCCCTAATAAAAATGTTTTATTTATTTATTTTTAAATAGACTCCATGCCCAGGGTAGAGCCAGATGCGGGGCTTGAACTCATGACCCTGAGATCAAGACCTGAGCTGAGATCAAGAGTTGGACACCTAACCAACTGAGCCACCCAGACGCCCTGAAATTTTTATTTTTTTGTAGTTGAGTTGATTTCTTTCTTCTATGACTTTTGAGTTTTGCAGCTTTCTCAAAAAGACTTTTCTTACTTTGGGATTATAAAAAATATTACCTCCTGTTTTAGTTTTCTGATTTAGTATTTCATGTTTAAATCTTTATTCCATCTGAAATTAATTGGAGTGTTTGGAATTCAACTTAGTTTCTTTTTTTCTTTTTTCCCCATTAGATGCTAATGTCCCTATGTCATTTATTGGATCACTTTTCCCCCTACTGGCTAGAAGGTTACTTTAATCAAGTACTGCATATTTGTATTGGTTTCTTTTTTTTTTTAATTTTTTTTAAGGTTTTTATTGATTTGACAGAGAGATAGAGAGCACAAGTAGGCCGAGTGGCAGGCAGAGGGAGAAGGAGAAGCAGGCTCTCCGCTGAGCAGGGAGCCTGACGTGGGGCTCAATCCCAGGACCCTGGGATCATGACCTGAGCCAAAGGCAGCCACTTAACCGACTGAGTCACCCAGGCACCCCTGTATCGGTTTCTTGACTCCGTATTCTGTTCCAATGAAAACGTTTGTCTGTTCATGTCCATTACCAGAATTGTAATTACTATACTTGTATAATACATTTTAATAATATATAAGGCTAATGTTCCCATCACATTGCTCATTTTCAGTTATTTTCCTTCTTCCTGCATGTGGGTTATTCCGTATGAATTTTAGAATTAGTTTTTCTGGTTTTTAAGACATTATTTTTTGTAATTTTCTCTTTATTTGTAATTTTCAAACTGTTTAAAAGACTGATCCCTGCCAGCATTTCTTGTAGTGAGTGTTTTGGAATGTTGTTTCTATGAGCATATTTCCTCTGAAGAGAATTCTATGCTAAATATTTTTGAGAAATGCTACATATTATACTCCTCTAGGATTCACAACACCCATGAGTATATCAAAAGCTCTTTAAAGTTCAGCAATAAAGAAATCCGTTTATCTCTTTAAACCCAGAGTTTGCCAGATTTATTTTGTCACAGGATCCTTATTTTGGTATAGGATGTTCCTGTAGGATTATTCTGTAGAATATATTTGGGAAATATTGATCTATCATCATGTCTTCCTTCATCTACAGTTCATAACTCCTGTAATCTGGCTAACAGCCCCCCAGTCAGTTTCTCTTACAATTATTCTTGCCAAGGATGCTGGTGACTTTGTCACTAAGCTCAATAGAAATTTTTAAAGTCTTTTTTTAAAATTTGACTTTATGGATTTTCAGCCTATTCATCATCCATCTTTTGATACTTTGTTCTTTTTTTACTTTGGTGAAATGATTCTCTTGCTTTTCCTCCTACTTTCCCTCTTCTTCTTTTGTTTCCTCTGTGAGGTTTTCACTCTGCATGCTCTGCCCCTGCTTTCTGTCTAGGATGTAGCACTGCAGCACTGATATAACTATATATATGACTGATGATGACTCCTCTGTGTGTATCTACGGCACATGCCTCTTTTTTGAGTTTCAAACATCTGTTTTCACGTGTTTGATCAGCTTTCCACTTGGCTTATATCACAGGCCCATCTAGCTCAGGGCCACCTCACAGGCCTAACACAGTGAAAACAAGTCTTTTGCTGGCCAGTTCAATGTGTCTTTGTGTGAATTAGCAGATGTAGCCCATGGCAAGCAGAGCTCAGGCTGGATTTCAGCTCCTATTTTTTTCCCTTGGTGGGACACAGTCTACATAACTGTACTACATAAGGGTACTTGACTGTAATTCTTGTATATGTCTCTCCATTTCTCTCCCTGCTTACTGCCTTAATTCAGCCTGTCATGGTATTTGATCTAATCCCCTTATCTTTATTCTTTCTATTTCCCTGTCTTTACTTTTTCTCCTTTTAGGTCATCATTCTAAGATGGAACTCTGGTGAACTCACCAATTAGTGTCTTCACTTGTTTCCTGTTTCCTTTCATACAAAAAGTGAACATTTTAGCATTGCACACAAAGGCTTGTTCTGATCTTGCCCTTGCATACATTTTCCAACATCACGCCTTTAATGCCCCACATTTTCACACTGCACTAAGCTGCTTAGTGCCTCTCGTTTGCCCTGCCCAGGTAGGTTCTGGGCCTTACTTAGTACCTGCTCTTCCTAGAGTAGTATCTTCCCATTACTCTTGTCTGGCTAATTTTTGTTGGTCTTCAGGGCTTTTCTTAAGTGTTCTTTACCAGGAATCCCTCCCTGATGCCCATAGTCCTGGTTAGATGTTCTTCCTTTGTTCGATCATGTGTGGTTTTGTCATGCACAGCAGTTGTGTTTGTGCCGTACAGAATTTATCTGCTTGTCTGCTGGTTAGAATTAGAGCTTCTGAGAGCTGACATTATGTTTTTAATTTCTGTTCTTCTAGGCCCTAGGGTAACAGTTTTAAATTATACTCCTGAGATCCTTTAGATGTTTTCTCAAGTTGTTTTTTGCTTTTTTTGCTCTTTACCCTCTTCTTGGTGCCCCCGCCATTACCCTCTCAGCATCCTTCCTTTATCCACTTTTTTAAAATATATGTATTCACCCAAGATTTTATTTGTTTAAAGAAAATGTTCTGTGTTTGAATGAAAGGAGAAAAATAACAGAAAAAAGAAAGGGGGGGAGGAAAAGAATAATAGAGAAAGAAAGATGAAACAAAGTCTAAATTTTAAGACTAGCACAATGCCTAAAATAGTAGGCATTGGCGAAATATGGTTGATTAATCAATTCAGATGTTTGTGTTCATAGATTGACACTGAAATGCCTAGCCTGACTAACCCAACATACCAGTTTACTCCTCTTTCCTCCAACATACCACAGGTTTTGGGTTTTTTTTTTAAGTATTTTTTTAGCATACTGATTGTTCTGCCTGAACTTCCCTGTTCTTTCTTCTAGGAGGTGCTTAATAAATTTTTATGGAGTTATGGGATTGAATTTGACTTGATAAAATTATTTGTTGTTGTTACCATACCGCCTGTGGGTCCTAAAGGGTCAACTTTTTTTGGTACAACTCTCCTATGAATTTACTTTGTAAGTCAGAGTTAAAAAGAATAATTTCAGTTAGTCTATTTTGGCTTTATTGATGAACCATAATTTATCTTAACTAGGCTAACTCATGTTAGCTGTTGCTAACACTCGTACAATAATTTGTGTAAGTATTTTCAACCTGATGTAATGTTTTTCTTTTTCAGCTTGTGAAACTTTGTATTGTGATGATTGATACCGGAAAGGCCTTTTGTGTTGCAAATAAACAGTTCATGAATGGGATTCGAGACCTGGCACAGTATTCTAGTAATGATGCTGTAGTTGAGGTTAGTATTATTAAAATTAGTTAATATGATAAGTTCAACAAAATATTAAAGAACTACGCACCCATTTACCATATTAGTAGTTATAGTGGTCCTTAAAGTTAGGAGTAGAAAAGCTATCACCTGCTGGTGTTGTATAATCTTGTTTTCTAAGTGTAGTTAGAAGTTGATGGTTGATTTCATTGTGAATATAAGTTTACTTCTGCTAGGTGAGCTGAATCATCTACAAAGAGGACCTGAGTAGGGAGAGGAGGACTATCCTTGCTAGTAGGAGCTTATAGGGCAAGCAGAGAGCATTTAAATCTTAAGAATAGTATCTAACTCTATGTATGGGGTTGCATAGGAAAATTCTTGTCAGCTAGCTGTGCTGGGTTAACTTAGGCCACTTGCTATACTATGTGGTATTACGATATTTCTTCCACGAGGAATAATAGCTGGTTAGGTAATGGGTGTGCTTTGATGATGAGTTGGTTCATGGATGTCTAAATGGGCACGGTCTTGATACACTCAATTTTACCTTTAGGTTTATATGTGCCATTATTATTTGTTAGCCTACTCCTATTGATATGACAGTACTAATTCTTTGACTATCCTACCACATGTACACTGGTCCTCTTTGCAGAGCGTGCCCCTGACGCAGTGCCATGAAATCATCCTCGGAAGTAAATGTTATTGTTTACAGTGTAACTAGATGTTTCTGTCAGAAATGCAGAAGTAACATTTTTGTGACCTATTTTCATGGCTCTTAAATGACTTGGTTTTTCTTTTGGTTTCTTTCTCATAGACAAGTTTGACCAAGTTTTCTGACAGTCTTCAAGAAATGATAAATTTTCACACAGTAAGTGTCAGTAAGTAGGTATTAGTATGACCATGTAAATATGTAGTACTTTCCATGAATGGTGGTATTTTATAAAATTACTTAAGTTGTAATTCAGTAACTTTGATTTGCCAACTGTTTAGTTGGTGGATCTAAAATGTGTGTATGTGTGTGTGTGTGTATGAGAGAGAGAGAGACATTTTATTTCTCATTCTAATATAGTGAACTTAATATCAATGAAGTATATACCCATAAAAGTTATTTTTTTTGTTTAAGTTGTGCCTTTGTGAGTTTTTAAGGAATTATTTTAAGAATGAAGAAGTAAAAGCCATTATTCTAAATTTAGCTATTTCTTTTAAGATACACAAATATATCCCCTTTGTCTATAATCAGTTGCCAGGATTAAAGACTGCTGTATTCCTTGAGCTATTTATATGTGCATTTAAGATTTGAAGACTTTTTTATTCTAGTTATTCATGAGGGCAAAAGATGCTGTTTTTTTCTGTTTTCCTTTGCTAAGAACGTTTCTTTTTTTGATTCTAACCAGTGCAATAAAACCTAAAATCAGAATAAGAAAAAAACCAAAAGATTTAAGGGCTTTTATCCCTCAAGAATGAGGGATATATACTACTTTTAGAATGTCAGGAAATTCCTTTATAAATTTTGTAAAAGTTTACTGAAAATGTAGTAGCTTGTAAGTTATATACTTCTTTTAAAAACAATTTTTATTGATGTATAATTGACATATTAGTTTCATGTGTATAGTGATTCCATGTAACGATTCTATATTTGCCTATATTGCAGAATGATTACTACAGTGAATTTCACTTAACATGTATCACCACATATAGTTACAAACTTTTTTTCTTGTGATGAGAACTTTCAAGACCCACTCTCCTACCTACTTTCAAATATGCAGTATGGTATTACTATTATTTTTTAAAAGATTTTATTCATTTATTTATTTATTTGAGGGTAGGGGAGGAGCAGAGGGAGAGGCATAGGCAGACTCCGCAGTGAGCTCAGAGCCAGACGTGAGATCATGACCTGAGCTGAAATCAGGAGTCGGCTGCTTAACTGACTAAGCCACCCAGGCGCCCCTGCGGTACAGTATTATTAACTATAGTCATCATACTGTACAATATGTTCCCACAGCATAGTCACTTTATAACTAGAAATTTACACCTTTTGACCCCCATCACCCCCACCCCTGCCTCAGGCAGCCACCAGACCCGTCTGTTCTCCATATCCTTAAGCTTGTTTTTTTGTTGTTGTTGTTTTAAAAATTTTACATCTGAGTGCAATCATACAGTATTTATCTTTTTCTCTCTGGCTTATTTCACTTAGCATAATGCCTGTAAGGTCCATCCATTTTGTTGCAAATAGCAGGAGTTCATTAATTTTTATGGCTGAGTAGTACTGCATTGTATGTGTACCTGTATATATACACACATCTATATCTATATCTTCTTTATCAATTCATCCAGTGATGGACATGGAGGTTGTTTCCATGTCTTGGCTAGTGTAAATGATGCTGCTATGAACATGGGGGTGCAGATATCTTTTCAAGTTAGTGTTTTCACTTTCTTCCCATAATACCCAGAAGTGGAATTGCTGGATCATAACGGTATTCTAATTTTATTTTTTTGAGGAACTTCCATACTGTTTTCATAGCTGCACCAGTTTGCATTGCCACCAATAGTGCAAGAAGGTTCCCCTTTCTCTGTAATCTCATCAACATATGTTATTTCTTGTCTTTTTTTTGTTTTTTGGTTTTTTTTAAAGATTTTATTTATTTATTTGACAGAGAGAGCACAAGCAGGGGGAGCAGCAGAGGGAGAGGGAGGGAGAAGCAGACTCCCCGCTGAGCAGGGAGCCCAATATGGGGCTCAGTCCCAGGACCCTGGGATCATGACCTGAGATGAAGGCAGACACTTAATGACTGAGCCACCCAGGCGCCCTGTTTTGTTTTGTTTTGTTTTGTTTTGTTTTTTCCTTGTCCTTTTGATAATAGTCATTCTAACAGGGATGAGGTGGTGTCTCATTGCATTTTGATTTACATTTCGCTGATGATTAGTGATGTAGAGCATCTCTTCATTTATCAACCATCTGCATGTTTTCTTTGGAAACATATCTATTCTGACCCTCTGCTATTGAGTTGTATGAGGTTTTTTTTTATTTTAATATTAACCCCTTATCAGATATATGATTTGCAAATATTTTCTGCCATCCGGTAAGTTCCTTTTTTACTTTGTTGTTGGTTTCCTTTGTAGGGCAGAAACTTTTTAGTTTGATGTAGTCCCACTTGTTTATTTTTGTTTTTGTTACCTTTGTTTTGGTGTCAAATCCAAAAAAATCATTGCCAAGACATGTCAAGGAGCTTACTGTCTGTGTTTTCTTCTAGGAGTTTTACGGGCTCTGGGTCTTCCATTCAAGTCTTTAATCTATTTTGAGTTAATTTTTGTGTTATACGCTTTTAATATTTTTAAAAGGTTAAAATATATGACTGTCATATAATTATTTGGTGTTTCAAAATTTATTAGCAGCTGTTTATAACAAGAATATGAGGGCGCCTGGGTGGCTCAGATGGTTAAGCGTCTGCCTTCGGCTCAGGTCATGATCCCGGGGTCCTGGGATCGAGTCCCGCATCGGGCTCCCTGCTCCTTGGGAGCCTGCTTCTCCCTCTGCTTCTCTCTCTCTCTCCCTCTGTCTCTCATGAATAAATAAATAAAATCTTTAAAAAAAAAATTGTAAAAAAAAAAAGAATATGAGCACTTATATTCTTTAAAGTCTGCTGATTTTTGGTTCTTAGTATATTTGATTTTCTTTTTTGGTCAATAAATTAAGGATAAAGTTATCTGATAATATTTATTTTAATTGTACTTCAAATTTTATCTGTACAAAAATTAGCATGTACAAGTATCTGCTTCAGTTCCTGATTTCATTTCTTTTGAGTGTATATCCAGGTGTGAAATTACTGGTTCATATGGTACTTCTATACTACTTCCTTCCTGAGGAACAACTAAACTGTTTTTCACAGAACCTGTACCATTTTATATTCCCACCAGCAATATATGCATGTTCCAGTTTTTCACATCCTTGTCAACATTTATTATTTTCCATTTTTTTTATCATAGCTATCCTAGGAGGTGTGAAGTAGTGTCACTGTGGTTTGGATTTGTATTTCTCTAATGCTTAATGCAGTTGAGCATGTTTTCATGTGTTTATTGGCACATGATACTGTATATCTTCTGTCATCATTACCATTGTTGCCCATTCAACTCCTTTGACCATTTTTAAATTGGAATTTTTAAAATTGAATTCTTTGTATATTTTGGATATTAAACTCTTATCAGATAAGTGATATATAAATATTTTCTCCCATTCTGCAAGTTGTCTTTTCACTTTCTTGATAATGTTCTTTGATGCACAAAAGTTAATTTTGATGAAATTCAATTTATTTTTTCTTCTGTTGTTTCTGCTTTCGGGGTCATATCCAAAAATCCATTGCCAAATCCCAGATCATGAAGATTTATTCCTTCATTTTCTTCTAAGAGCTTTATGGTTTTAGCTCTGATATTTTGACCAGTTTGTTTTTTTGATGACCTCTTATTCTCTTTTTGCCTTCTGGCGGATTTAGATGCCAGAATATAGTATGTTTGATTTCTTTTTAAATCAAGTGATTGCTTGTATTTAAACTTCTTAAAAAAATGTAATATAGTGAGAATTAATTTTGGGGGGATAAAAGCTATTGATTTGAAATTAATGTAACAGGTTAAATGTTTTCTCCGTGATATCTTTTGTAATAGTCTTGTTTCTGATATTTTCTTTAAATCACTGTAAGTCTTGGGGCGCCTGGGTGGCTCAGTCGGTTAAGTGTCTGCCTTCGGCTCAGGTCATGATCTCAGGGTCCTGGGATGCTGAGAGCCCCACGCTGGGCTCCCTGCTCGGCAGGGAGTCTGCTTCTCCCTCTCCTTCTGCCCGTCCCCCTGATGATGATCTCTCTCTCTCTCTCTCTCCAATAAATAAATAAAATCTTTAAAAAAAAATCAGTGTAAATCTTATATTATTGCTTTACATAAGAATACCTTGCTCTTTGTTAAAGTTTTATATGTGAAAAGTTATGGTTAAGATAAACACTTGGTAAATAAATTGTTTAAATGTGTATTGGAAGCTTTCTTCTCAAATCTTCAAAGTATTTTAATAATCACTTTCATTTTTCAGTTTATTGTTTCATATAAAGGGAATAATAGAATTTGCCATGCCTATATGTAAGGGTGTTATGAGGAACACAGTATGTGAAAGTAGACTCTGGAGAGTGATACTCCTTTCTTCATATCAGTTGTATCAGTTGGCATACATTCAGGAAAACAAACCACTTAGGATATTTCTGATAGAAAGATTTTAATACAGTGAATTGGTTACAAAAATGTTAGAAGGTCTGGAGGAATAAAAAAAAGTTAAGGTGATGCCACCTAGAGATTAGTAAATATGGAAAGTAGCTATTGCCCCTGGGGCTGGAGAAACAAAAGGGAAAGTGGTGTTTCCCAGAGCCCCTAAGTACTGCACTTTTGAGAATACGGCCATTGTTACGTGGCCAGGAAGCCAGGAGCTTGCCTTCTTGTGGCTGCCTTAAGAGTCAAGGAGCCTGTAGTCCCCTTGAAACTGCCTAGGTTGGTCACCAGTGCTGCTCAAAGTTGGTGTGGCTCACAGTTGATTACTGATGTCTGTGTCAGAACAGAAGCAGGAAAAGCAGTGGCTTCCTCTATGTCTTGCCTCTTAATCTAATAATTGGCTTCCACTGGCAGAATCTAACCTCTTTGTATGCAAGGAGGCCTAGGAAATATGTTTTGCAGATTTCTAGTACCTGGCAATATAGAGGAGGAGCCCATGGAAGGGTGATGTAGTGGTGAAAACCAACAATTAACCAGCACAGGAACCATAAAGGCTATAATTTGAAAATATTTTTGGTGGGCATGAGTATTTCTGAGTCTTTTCCAGAGAAATCTAGTTTTCACCTT